ACAACGTGGTTACCATTGCCTTATTCGTGCTGAGGAGTCAGCGATATTTATTACCCACATTGCTTTTGCACCATCGAAGCAAATTTCAACAGAGGGAAAAAGCAAACTATGTCTTGGGGTTGTTTTGAAAATAGTGTCGAACTCATGAAGCCCCTGATAGGGTGTTGAGGGCCACACTTTGAGGACTGCTGAACTTAGGTTATGCAAAGAGAAAACACGTGACTAGATTAGCCGTGGCAAAAAGACCAAGGCAAGCATCAGTATGTCCTAACAGTTACCTCACTTAGACAAAATATTAGATAGTAATAGAAAATAATGAATTTCTCAACATTTATGTACAGTTAGAAACCAGAGCTTATTGAGAAAACCTAATTGGAACAAAGATTTCTGTAACTTTTCCATCATTTAATTATGGGAATGAAGAATCTTTATACCTTTAAAAAGTATATGTTAAAACTGGAGCAATGTTGATTGCATTTCAGAGCTGTGTGTTTTATGCTGATGATCTAATCTTGAGATGCCAGTCACATCATTGATGCATTTGGGTTTAGCTTTAAGATCTCGTTAACTGCTTTTTGGTACCCTATGAACACACGAAGCAAACCATCTTTCACCAGACAGCCAAAGGTAACAAAGGGATGGGAGGCAGTGAGAATCAATATAGTAAGAGTATTTTTAGGGACTATTGATGGATTGCTGTATTTTGAGCTTAACTTCAAGTGCCAATGCCCCAGAGCTGACTAAGATGAACTCACCATTTACTGAGAACTGTAGGCCGTCACGCACACAGAGGGCTCTGGGATGGGCAAGACGAGCCCCACACGTCGTTCCCTTGGCCGTCTGGGGAGAACTCCGGTGGGGTGTTTTTAGGAGCATCGTGCGGCATCTTGATGAGGACTTGGTACCACTCTAATTGCCGGAGCTGAGTGCCATCCGGTGATGACCTCCCAGTCCTGGTAATGGGTAACTGTGAGATTTTAGGACAACAGCGTGACGGCAGCCAACCCGTTAATTCTCGAATCCGGAGGGATCTGGTTACACCCACCGAGGCACTCAGGACTCCACGCCCTCTCCCAAGGCAGCCCCGCCGAAGGTGAGAGCCACACTGAGCTGTGCTTCTATCAGCAAGCTGAAAGCTGTGGGTCCCTGACACGGCTCTCCATTGCTAGCAGGTTCCTCTCACTGCACCTCATTTGCATCTGGGACATCAATTAGCATGTTTGTTGAGGCTAATTGAATGAAACTCAATCATAGCTCTTAATTGCTTGACTATGTGAAAAGAAATCACATTAATGCAGCTAATTAAGTGTACGGCAATAGATGCAACATAATTAGGAGGAAAATGTAAAAAACAAGGGATGGCAAAGGTGCCGGAGCGGGGTGGCAGGGGGACGCTGTGCTGGGTCCTGGAGCTTCATCCAAGTGGTCGGGGATGGGTCCCTCTGCTCCGGCGCCTGCCTGCAAAAAATAATCCACGAGGTGAGCATGGACAACTTGAGAAGAAAAATGCAAATAGGTTTGCAATTACTACTTTTTCAAGCTGTTGAGGGGCAGGAGATAGCACCTCTGGGGGGCCTGGCTCTTGAGTGGGCCCCGGGGACTTGTTAAGTGCTGTTTAAAAGTACTTGGCTTTGAATTACCCTCATGCCTTGTTAAAGGGTTTTTTCCCCTTTTATCCTCGATCAGCATTTTCTGCAAGGAACACGGAGAGGGGTTGTATCTGTAACGTTTGCATATCAAAATCAAGCTCGCTGGCTTTATTTCCCCCTGCACGGTCCCTACCTCGGACCATCAGGCTGCGCGTCCCACTTCTGAGGAGGCGACATTGTTTGGTGGTTGTAGCTTTAATTCCTCAAGTACCAAGCTGGGGAGAGATGAAAAGGGTAGTTCTTTCAAAAACGGAAAACTCAGTGTTGTTTCTCTTGGGAGAAGCTAGAAGAAGCCTCAGGCTCACGTATCCACCTGTTTCTGAAAGACTTTTATGGATTAGGAAATGGATCTTGTCACATTTTTATAAATTTTAGAGGCTTGAAATTTAAGAATTGCCAGACTTACATTCTGATTTTCTTAAGAACTGGTTCTTCTGCACTTTCAATGCCTAACTCAGGCAGGAAAACAGATCCCCCAGCCCATGCTGAGCCAAAGATAAATGGGTTCTGTCGCCGCGTTCAAATCCAGAGAGCCAACACTTGGTACATTTCTATAATAATTTTAAATAAAATATCCTGGTTATTGTCTGTTAAAACATGCCTATTAAAAAAGAGACCACGCTGAGGCTTAGTCACTCTCTGATTAGCCTCATTTTAGAGCCCATAAGCCATAAATGCTCAATTACACTCCTGTTATTGTATTTTAATTTGTTAAGAATTGGCATTAAAGAAAAAAGTTGTAGCAAGTTGATATTTTTAAAGGAGTAACTATGCAAGAAGGAATTCATTATTCACAAGCATTAACTTTGGTTTTGGGACTTGGGTTTGCCTGTTTGGAGTAAATGTTAATGGAAGTAAATGAAAGATGCTTAAGAACAACCTTTTTTTTTTAAATAACCTTGACCCTTGGCCCTGTACTGACCAAAGGCCACTTCCTTCTTCCGTGTGCTTTTTGTCGGCCATCCTCGTGGTGAGCTTGGTCACGAGACTTCTACATTTCTTTCAGTCCGCTTTATCCTTTAGCCTAATTTAATGATAATAACTTTCTTTCCATCCTTTGTCCTCATCCTTTCAAAACCACAACTTTTTTCATAGTAGATTATATTTGTGGCAGGGGGCGGGGGGGAGGGGTAGTCGAAGCATCTTGCCTTTCAAGTGGAGTCTTTAGTCTGTTCCCAGCTAGACACAGCCCACCCCTTCTCCAAACCTGTGATGACCCTCCTCCTAGATGCCCGTGGCCGACCCCGGCAGATGTCCCTCCCTAAGCTGCCCTGGGAGATTAAATGCACAGCTGGGCAGCCCAGGGTGCATCAGCACCTCTGCTCCTGGCTTCCCCGGCTGACAGCATACGTGCTGGTGCAGATGCTTCTCTCCGGATGGTTTGTCATTGCTGAGGAAGGCCCAGCCTCGCCCCTCCCTGGAGGAGCTGATCTGAATTTGCCCCTACTTGGTGCAGCTTCTGATCCTTTGTTTGTCTTCAGTCCCTTGTTCCTCCTGATTCTAGCCTCAGCTTTTTGACCTTGAGCTCTGCACTAAGAATTGGCCATTTGAGGTCTGTCCTTAGGAAGTCACCCTGGATGCTGCGTCATCATCTCCTGGGCTGCTGCTTGGTGAACCTTCCAGGGTTCTGTAATCTCCATCACAAGGCCCCCGTTCACGTTATGGAGTTTCTCTTCCAGCCCTTCCTCCTGTGTTGAGAATTCGCCCACTCCCTTTCCTGAGTCTGGGGTGGCTCCCATGCGGCCACAAGTCCAACTGCTTGGGTTTCAGGTGAGGTCTGACACTCAGAGCTGGCCCTCCCTCCTACAGATGTTCTCTCTGTCTTGTACGGTCCCAGCGACCCATATGCGGGTTCTTCCCCCTGTGTTGGAATCTAGTACTTTGAGTTCCTTTTTGTGCCATAACTTCTGTCAGCAAACTTCCTACTTGTGGTTAAACCAGTGACTGCTTCTCAACCCCTTCACCTTATGGAATATGGACATTGCCTTGCAATTAAAAGAAGCCACTGGAGTCCTTCTCTTGGCTTCCCTAGCACCTTCTGTGCCCTCTGAAGCTTCTGCCGTTCACCTGGACTGACTTTCCTCGTCCTGCAGGCTGAGGCCTCTGACCCGTGCACTTTGCCGGTAGACCTTCATCTAGTTCTCTCTCTGTATCTGTTGACTCTGTTGATCGGCAATTATAAGGAAACAGCTCGCTTCTCCAAACTCCCTGGGTCGCTTGCAGTCGCACACCGGATTGTTTGGCAGTTCTTCTAAAATCAGATTGACGTGAACCTTATTGTTGATAATCAATACAAATTTATTGGTCTTTTCCCTTTATATCCTAAAAGGAATCCACCAAGATTCTGCCAAGGAAGGAATCTGTTTATTTCATTTCCTGGTTAGTCTTAAAACACTTGAAATATTATTTACCCAAGAGTGATTTAGATTGTATCCTTTCTTCATGTGTGATGTTGGTTTAATGATATATCTGCAGAGACAGGGGGGTTCATTGCCCCCCCAAAATGTATGAAAGGGTCAATAACTCCTCTAATTTGTCAAGAGGCCCCTCACTCTGGCTCTCAGTTGTCTTCTCTTTCCCCACCCAGCAGCCGATTCTTAAGTATTGTTTTCCTCTGTATTGAACTAGGTGACGGCACAAAGAATTCCCTGTGTACCTAGGCTTCCCTGTAGTTCCGTGACAACTGCTAGTCATTGACCTCCAAAGTGTAGACAAAAGCAGGATACTTTTTCTGAGTACAGTGAATCACTTGGAGAAACATAATGCTTGAGTAAAAATAATGTGCCGCCTTTTTTAGCATCCAGCTCTTGTGACCTCCGTGTGTTTTCAGCACCGTACCACTGACCCCCTCAGACATCTTCCTGAGCAAAATGCTTGACCTCTTACTTAGAGTTTTCACCTGAGTTCCCACCAGACAACTTCAGTCTTACCTAGATGTCTAATGGTATTGCTCTCGGAGACAAAAAGGTTATTACAAAATAGTTCCTACTCCATGGAATTTTACCCAAAAGTTACAGGAAGAGCCCAGGTTCCTAATGTACCATCTAATGTGCAGCAGCTCGCAAAATAGGATTTCATGTCCGTACTGGTGTCTCATCCTCCTGGGTAGAAGGCATCGACTGTGTCTCCTGTATTTCCAGGGCCTGGGTTAGTTCAGGACACAGAGGCAGAGCTGATATCAGTGTAATGATGATGCCACCAGTACAAGACAGATCGAAACCTTATTTTTAAGCGCTTGCCACCGTGGAAGGGTCGTAGGATTACAACTCAGGGTGTCTGACGGAACCTCTTGTCCTACATTGTAAAAGGTCTTTCTTTTAATCTCTCTTGGGTGTTTAACATTTTGAACAGGATTACATGCAGAATGTTCATGGCAAAGAGATTGATCTTCTGAGAACCACTGTGAAAGTCCCAGGGAAGAGGCCGCCCCGAGCCACGTCGGCCTGCGCGCCCATCTCCAGCCCGAAAACCAACGGCCTGTCCAAGGACATGAGCAGCTTGCACATCTCACCAAATTCAGGTAAGCTCACAGCCGACATGCTGAAGAAATCCAGCGCAATGGCAGCAATGGGTGGTCCTGGCTGGAGGACAGTGCTGAGGTTTTTGGATTAAGTGGAGATTTTGACCATTAAGGTTGTAAACTAAGGTTTACAAGTCTCATCTCTTCTGTGGATGATTGTTTCCGCTACACCCTTGGGTTCCTGGACTGCCAACAAGCAAACTGTGGCACTTTGAGTCACAGCTGCACAAACCACTAGGCTTTCCCAGGGCTGGGCGGTTGAAAGTCACGTTTTACACATGATGGAGGTTTAAGGGCCTTCTAAAAAACATGAATTCATTGTTAAGGTGTCAAGGATTAGTATGAACTAATTCGTAGTGACTGTGTTTAGAAAAATGGAAAAGCCATTTGGAGCAAGATTTAAAGGAAACCCCTAGGCCTGTATAAAAGTTCAGATTCTCTCAGTTTTCTCTTGTAAATGTTATGTGATTCTTTCACACAATTTTGGTTTTCTTTATCCTCTTTTAAGGGAGAATTTGGTTTTTGCTCAGGATCAGAGAAAGTTAGTGTTTTCTCGGAATAGATGTGTTGAGAAATTCCTGGCTTCGGTGTGCAATGCAAACCATTCAGAGTGTCGTGGTTTGTTTTTGTTTAAGAGTCTTGGCAAACTGTGCTGTGGCTTTTACCTTCCCATGATCGCTTATCAGACAAAAGGTGGTAAGAACCGCTTTAAGTCTTCCACCAACAAACTCAGACTCCTCCAACATACGAAATTCCTTCACAGATTTCAGTTGTTTCCCTTCCTGTCTCCAACCTACATCTGATCTTCTCAAAATAGATTTCTGTTCTGCAGTCATTCCTAGCATATGTCTCTGCTTCTTAAAGATGCTGCCTTTTTTCCTTTCTGAAATGTTAAATGTTTTTAAAGAGGAATAATGCTGACCCCACGGTTCCATGGCATGAATGACATTGTTTGGCAAAAGGAGGGTAAGAAAAAGAGGACAGAATTCGGGGTCCAGCAGCCTGGGTTCTACTGCCCGGTGCTGCATGGTGTTGAGCAGGTAACTGAACCATGTTTTACATTAGGCTGATCTTGCCTGGCCCTGCCCCCATCACAGAGGTGTGACGGCAGGTGCTGTGGAAACTCATGAAGCACAATACAAACATCAGCTCTTGTGACTAATCAAAATAAAACTGGCCTTTCTGATAACAGAGACATTAGTTCATTCTAGAAAGGTGATACGGTTACTTTATGTGGTCTCATGACCTGCTGACCTTCCTTCCAAGTGGTACATGAGTTCTCCTTTTCTAGATGGTGTGCTAACTCCATGGGATGGGAAGAGAGAAGAGCGCCCAAGAAAAAATATGTTTCTATACTGAATGAAAAGCTAATGTCTTCATTAATTTATTTATTTGTTCAGAAGGTCCTTGCTGAGCACCTGTTCTGTGCCAGGAATTGTGCATTCTGTGGATGCAGAATCTCTGACCTCCAGAACTCCTGTGCGAGGCAGTCACCCTATAACCAACTTTCCACTTCCCCTTCTAACCATTGGACACATCTGTCCATTTATTTGTTCAAGTCAGCAAGCATGTATGAAGTTTCTAATGTGTGCCAGTCACTGTCCTGAGCTCTGGGGGTACAGAAAAATGAGGCATAATCCCTATCCTCTGGAATCTCACCCTCTGGGAGGTGGGAAAGGTGAGCAGATGAGCCAGTGCAGTGCAGCAGCTCATAGGAGGTGTGAAGGCCCCGGGGTGATGTGCTCGGCTTCAGGAGGTGGGGCAAGGCTTCAGGGCTTGAGGGATGCCTGTGTGGGGTGTGAAGAAAGGATGGGAACTTGCCAGGCACATAGGATGAGGGAAGAGTCCTGATGATTTGAAGAAGTGTCGGCTATGTAGATTTGGAGTTTGAAATGTCGTCTAGAGACATCTTTGGGGCTTAACTGCCACTTACTGTCCTAAGGAAAATGTAATGTTTGATAACAAATAGAAAATACAAAATGCCACATGAACTTTATCACATCCCCAGAGGAGGTTATGTCATGGGCCTCGGCTAGGGATTGAGTTTTCAATGCCCAGTTGCTTTCTCTTTAAGATTCTTGCTATTGGGTGAATGGGAAGATTTGGGTCACGATTGAAATCCCTTTTCCATGGTCACACCCATGGTCGGTTTATTACAGCACATCCTGTCGACCCTAAGCTGGGGAAATCCCCATTCAAGGAGCCTGGTAGATGTTTCATCTTCTTTGGGTCACAAGTAGGGACTCGGAAGTGGGAATATGATGTCCGCAGGAGCACAGCACCACTGTGCTGTGGAAAGTCCCTCATGGTCACAGCAGTGCCCAGGGATGGTGCCCTCAGCTAAGCCTGTGGGCAACGTCCTTGGCTGGCATCACCCAGAGCTCTACCCTGTTGTTCATAGAACTCTCTCACGTGGAGAATTCCAACCCAGCAAATTTAATTTCAAGTAAATGGATGCTACTTTTAAGTGATGGACTTTTAGCTAAAGATAGGTATTAGTTATTTTAGAGCTAACTTGCCGAAGAACTTAACCCACTACTTAACCTCATCTTTCATTCTCAACTCATTTGAATTCTGCCATTTTGTTTTAGACCTCTGGAGTAACTGGGCGTCTTTTGTTTCTTTTTAGCTTTTTTCTTTTTTATTCGTTTTCTATCTCCATGTTATGAATTAGATCAATGTTATGTGCCTTCCTTTCTAGTCATTTTTTTCATTCACATAGACCTGATACACACTTGTACTGAAATCTTTGTGTGTAACTTACTAATGTCTTAGCATAAAAGTCCATAGGCAAAGTGACTCAGCCAGTGGATATAAACACTTACAAGATTCTCCATACATATTTCCAAATTCATTTCTAGAAAGGTTTTATATAAAACACCCTTCCGTCCATAAAGTGAGTGCTCATTTCACCTCTACACGTTTTTAGAATCTATGCTAATATTATAAGCAATAAAAATATCTCGTGTTTTGTTTATTTGGATTTCTTCAGTTAGTAGTGAGGTTGAACAGCTCATATATTTATGGGGTTTTTGTGGTTCTTGTGTTGTAAGTGTGTAGATGTATCCTTTGTCCATTGTTGCACTAGGTGCTTCTCTTTTGCTTATTGACGTGTAATAACTCTTCGTATATTAAGGATAACAACACTTTGTAATATATTTTGCAGCTATTTCCCCAGTTTACTATTTGCTTTTTGAATTTTGTAGCCTTATTTACATACAGAGTTTCCTTCTCTTTAGTATGTAATCGAATCATAAGACTTGTACTTCTGTAGTTTCTACTTTAGATATTTAGAAAGCCTTTAATAATCCTGAAATAAGATCATAATTCATATATATGTATTTCAGAGTTATAGTTTTATTGTTGCTCCTTTTCCCCTTTTTTATAATTAACCTCTAATCCACCTTTAATTTGTTTGGGTCTATTATATATAATAGGAAATCTAGTTAAACTTTTTATTCAAATATATAGCTAATTGTTCTCTCTCTCTTTGTTATTTCCTTTTCCTGTTGATTCTGTTTGTCACCTTTCTTGCACAACTAACTCATTTAATCAAATTAGCTATGTTTCTGGGCTTGAAAATGTATTCCATTGACCTACTTTCTCCGCGTTGTGTAGATTTACCTCATTGTCTTAGATTCATGGCTCAATTTATATCTGGTAACGTAACGTATAACATGGTTTCATATTACTCTTTTATTTTATAGTGTTTCTTGGTTATTGCCACCATTTATTTTTTCCAGTAAACTTCAGAATAACTGGAAACCTTTCTCTTCCCCCCCTAAAAATAATCTCGTTGTGACTCTAACTGGCATTGCTGTTAATCTATGAATTAATTGTGGAGGAACTGACATCTTAACTATATTGAGTTTATCATAGAACACAATTCTTTCCCAGTTTATTCAGACTTACTATATACCCCTCAGTAAACTTTTAACACTTTTTTCCATTTAGATCCTGTAGGTGTCCTGTTAATCCGTTCTGTTACTTTATAATTTTTGTTGAAGTGTGAGCTGATACTTGGTGGGGCGAGGGGTTGTCTATTCTATCATCTAATCGGTAAGAAATAAGAACGATCCTAATTTTTGTATTTTTTATATCCAGCCATCTTACTGAACTCTTCCTGAGTTGGAATAATTATCCAGATGTTTCTCTCAGTTTTCTAGTGTGCAGTCATAATGCATTCCATGTTTCAAACATTATGATGCCTAACTGTGTGTCAATGTTGACTTTTAGTTTCTCCCAACCAGTTTAATGATTTGGATACCTTATTGCTTTGCCCCCTGTACCATTCACTTACCATCATCATTGAGTCTGCGGCACGCCCAGCCCTGAGGAGTGCTCTGGAGATTCAGGGGGCCCTCCCTCCAAGGGCTTACACTCCAATGGGGGGTGGAAGAATCAGAAGATAGACACACAAGCAAGACCACTGAAGCTGGTGATAATTGCTAAAGGGTCTAAAAGGGGCAACTGGATAGAAAACTACTTGCAGGAGATGGTGGTCTTACATTATTCCTAGTATCGGGGAGTGGTTGGCCAGTATTGGAATGCTGACTACCTTTCAAACATTAAAATGCTAGAAATGTGATGCTCTTAATACCGAGTTTCGCCAGGGACTTGGGGAAGAGGAGGAGAAACACATTGTCATGCCTGATACTGCATACCTGCATACTGATAACCCAGCCTGGGTCTCATCTGGGGGCTCGCGAGTTAACCAGAGCAGAAGAGCTGCCGTGAAGATGGGGTGGCTGCCAGCTCCATTGGGCACCTGTGGGATGCAGGCACTGCAGGCTGAGGGACACGTTCAGGAAGAGTTGCCCAGTGGCATCCCCACCACCAGCCCCACTGGGAAAGTGAGCAGCATGCCTGGGGAGGATATCCTGATGTAGGTGCTCATGCTTGCAAGAGAAGGAAGCAGGTTGGAAAACGCAGACCTCTGCATAGACCCGGGGAAACATAAACGAATGGCAAGGAAGGGCAGCTCTGACCATGAGGGACGT